CAGCCGGAGCGTCCCCTCCCCCACCGCCTGGCTGCAGGCACCTTGGCCGCCAAGCCTTGCGCCTCCAGCGCACCCACTCGTGTCTCCCTGTTGGGGGCAAAAATAGAATATTGGGGACTAGCTATGGTTACGGGAAATACTAGCCATGGTCAGTTAGCCGTGCTTACCTAGTTCTGGTTACAGAAAAGACAGGCTAGCCTGGCCGGGAGTTGTGCGCCCCACCCTGAGAATCGGCCTCGGAGCCCGCGTCCATCCTCATTCAAGAACTGCCTGCTGTCTGGGAAAGCTTACCCACTGGGCGCCCCTCCCGCCCCCGCCCCTGGCCTGCTCCCCACGCCTGTCATTCCTGCCCCCTGTCACCTCCGTCCACCCCTCAGGGTGCAGAGCAGGTGTCTGTGGGCCTGCTGCTCCCCGCGCTGCCGGCAGGACTGGGATAAACGCTCATCTAGGACTCAGCCCGGTCGGCCTCTGCTCCTTTGGCTGCAGCAGCGACAGGCAGCCGGCCCTGGCTGTCCGGTTCACATCCCCTTGGCTCCGTGGGGCCCGAGGCCTCCAGAGTGTGGTGAGGCCTGGGGCCACCTCCCACCTGCCAGGTCCAAGGCAGCTGCCCACTTGCAGCGTCTGGCTAAGACCCAGGAGCCACCTGGAGTCCCACTTTCTTTCCATTTTCTTTCTTTTTTAAAAAAAAATATATATTTTATTTCAGAGAGGAAGTCGAGAGGGAGAGATAGAAACATCAGTGACTAGAGAGAATCACTGATGGGCTGCCTCCTGCACGCCCCCTACAGGGGATTGAGCCCCAAACCTGGAATCCAACCGTGACCTCCTGGTTCATAGGTCAAGGCTCAACCAGAGCCATGCAGGCGGGCGGTTTCCCTCCTTTTAACTGTCTCGGCAGAAGCCGAATGCGTGAGGCCTGGCGGCCCCTGGTACAGCCCCCCGTGCCCGGTGCTGCTCACCTCTTTCGGCATCCTTGAACTTGAGGGTCCTGCGCCGGGGCAGCCGGGGGCTGGAGGCCACCTCCGTCAGGAGCGTCGAGCTGTAGAAGCCCAGGCCGCTGCCGCGGTTCCGCAGCACCAGCTTCAGCTCCTGGTTCTCCTGGATCAGCTGCACCAGCCGCCGCAGCTCCTCGTTCTCCTGGGCCAGCCGCTGGATCTCTTGGCGCAGACCCTCGTAACCGCTGAGGAGGGACATGCCCGGCATTGTGGGGGGGCGAGCGCAGCAGCTACCAGCAGCAGCGGGCTAGGCAGTGACGGCAGACCCCGCCATTGTGAGGTCAGCACCCGCTGCCGCCATGGCTCCGGGCATTCCGGAGCTTCAGGGCCAGGCCCAGTGAGTCCCACCACCTGGAGCAGGCACACGGGCCACGGCCACATGACCCAGTGGGGTCTCGCCCAGGCCTTGGGGTCCCTTAGGAAGATCCCTCCTGGAGGACAGAAGCTTCTTCTTTAACGTATTTTTATTGATTTCAGAGGAAGGGAGAGGGAGAGGGAGAGACAGAAGCATCAATTGATAGAATCATTGATCTCGGTTGCCTCCTGCACGCCCCTTCCTGGGGATGGAGCCTGCAACCCGGACCGGAATCGAACCCAGGACCCTTCAGTCTGCAGGCCAACACTCTATCCACTGAGCCACAACAGCGGGGTGACAAAAGCTTCTTCGTCCCAGCCCAGCACCGTGTTGCAAGGAGAGGGGTAGAGAGCCAGTCATCCCCACCTGCTCATCTGGCCACCATGTCCAGGTCCCCACCCACCTATGCCAGGTGGTGGGGGTATTACAGGGGTGCAGGGAGTGGCATTGTCACAGCGGGCAGGCACCCTGTAAGAGGCCCCATATGCAGGCCCTACAAGAGGTCTGAGGACTGCAGGTTCTCGGGGTCAGGGGAGGCACCCCAGGCCAACAATTGGGTTTACATAACAAAACATATAGGACTCTTCTTTTTTTAAAAAATACATATTTTATTGATTTTTTACAGAGAGGAAGGGAGAGGGATAGAGGGTTAGAAACATCAATGAGAGAGAAACATCGATCAGCTGCCTCCTGCACACCCCCGACTGGGGATTGAGCTTGCAACCAAGGTACATGCCCTTGACCAGAATCAAACCTGGGACCTTTTAGTCCCTAGGCCAGTGTTGGCGAATCTTTTGAGCTCAGCGTGTCAGCATTTTGAAAAACCCTAACTTAACTCTGGTGCCGTGTCTCACATAGAAATTTTTGATCTTTGCAACCATAGAAAACAAAGATTTATATTTTTGACATTTATTTTATATACTTAAATGCCATTTAACAAAGAAAAATCAACCAAAAAAATGAGTTTGCGTGTCACCTCTGACACGCGTGTCATAGGTGCGCCATCACTGGAGTAGACACATGATTTTGTATTATGCATACACATGGTCACATTTTTATTTTTTAATACATTTTTATTGACTTCAGAGAGGAAGGGAGAGGGAGAGAGCGATAGAAACATCAATGATGAGAGAGCATCATTGATTGGCTGCCTCCTTCACGCCCCCTACTGGGAATCAAGCCCGCAACCCAGGCTTGTACCGTTGACCGGAATCGAACCTGGGACCTTTCAGTCCACAGGCCGACGCTCTATCCACTGAACCACACCAGCCAGGACCCATGTGTCTATTTTCAAGTGAACAGATGCAAACACTAAACAGTAAAAGAAAGTGTGTTTTCTTGGACAAATAGATGCATTTGCGCCTGCGAGCCTCCGAGGGGACTCCCGGATCCAAAGACGAGCAAAGGCGAGCCCTGCGCGGGCGACCAGGCCGGCGTGGGAACCGGGAATTCTGTCCCCGGGGACCTCCACCTCGGCGGCCGACCTCGGGCTCAGCCCGGCGTCCTGGGCGGGCACTGCCCAAGTTCCCCGGGACCGGAAGTGAGGAAAGTGGCGCCGCCGGGAATTGTAGTTTTCAGAGACCGGAAGTGGGGATCAGGCTTCCCGGAACCGTGGTTCTCTAGGGCAAGAAGTGGAGGGCCGGACCGCCGGAAACCGTAGACCTCACCAGGTCTTGAGTCGGGGCATCTCTGCCGCTGGGAACCGTAGTTCTCCGGGAGGCGGGGCCGGCGTGGCGGCCGGGCGGCATGGCGGGGGGAGA